CAGCACTTCAAAGACTCACAAGATGGTTTATTAGGGGATGAGCTGCCGTGGGCCAGACCCACTTCCTCAGTCTGACCCACGACAGCTCATCCCCTAATACACCATCTTGTGAGTCTTTGAAGTGCTGCACCGCCCTGGTTTCTGTTTCAGCTGCACCAGAGTAACGCGGCTACGTTTCTATCACTTGCAGTGAGTGGCTGGCTGCCGCCCTTCCCCCGGACCTACCCTGCAGTGATTGGCACTCCGAGCTTGCGTCTTCCCCCGCCAGCCCCCAGCCATCCATCCGCTCTCACACACAGCCTTGGTTTCCACCCCTCCCTGCTATTCCTACCTGCCCCCTCCGCTCTATTCGTCCTTAACCCTCCCCTGCACTCCACATACATGTTGTGATTGTCTATTTACCCCGCTGACATACACACGTCTATCCCTTTGCCTGTCTCACATACAGGCTGCTGTGGTTAACTGGCCTCCTCATGCCTGTACTCCTCCTGTATACCTCTTCAGAACTTTGCCTGGTGTAAACCCATTGGTGAATCCTTCATAGCCAGATGGATGTGCCTCCAGGCTGACCTCCACAAACATTCACATCTAGTACAGTACTATACATCATTTTAAGGAAAAATAGCCTTGTTCCCATCAGGCAGGGAAACAGCACTGGCAACTTGTAGTACTGATGGTGTTCCTCTCCGGTGCCAGGCCAACCACAATCACTGGAAAATCATTAGATGGGTTTAAAAGCCATTAGATTTTACTAAAAATATAGGATTTTTCTGTCCCAGGTCTTGTTGATTTCAATGGAGCTGTGTGCAGCTGCAGGGATCTGCCTGTATGGAACAGTTTAAATAACTGAGGTCTTCATTTGTGGCTATAATATGATTGTACTTTATAACACATTTCATTCAGCTAACTCAAAAGATTATTCAGAATGTAATGAATTAATGTATTATTCATACAAGTGACCATCAGAGAAAAGGCTGCAAAATGGTTGTGAAGGTGATGCCCTGTTTTCAGATTCACATAAAGTAACATTTTCTTTTTGGATAAATCTTTCCAGGTTTGGTCTCAATTCAAAGATTTGGGTTGGGGTTTTCTTACGTTTAACCCAAGTTTCTTTTTTTGTTTTTTGGTTGAGCATGCAAGAATACTGGGGAGTAAATTTTTTTTAAATTCCAGTGTTTGCTCCCCCATATGAAAAATGACAAAAATAAATTAATTCCACTCAGTTCTAACAAAATATCTAAGCCCTGCCAATGAGGAGTCACTCCTAAGAGTGAGAAAGCACAGACTCCAAGGTTCAATTCAGTCCTTTGCCTTTCTTCTGAGACTTTCTTTAAGTGATATTTGTGGTATAGTTTTTTTTTTTTTTAAATATACTGAGGCTAGGTCTACACTAGACCTGTGAGGTAGGCTTAAGGTACTCAACTCCAGCTATGTATCCAACTATGTAGAACACATAGCTGGAGTTGGCTTACCTTAAGCCGATCTTGGCATCATCCCCACTGTCGGAGGCCGACAGGAGCAAATGTTCCTATTAGCTTCCCTTCCTCCTCGCAACTGCGAGAAGTACAGACACTGGCCAGAGCTGCCCTCAGGGTTTGATACTAGACCCGCTAAATCAAGCGCTAGAACATCGATCTCTGTCATGGCTAGTGAAGATGTGCCCTGAAACCCACCAAAGCATTTTCTGAGACCTCCAAACACCCATTAAATGCGGTCGCTTTTTATGCACTACTGATTTTGGCTACATCACCACCTGTGAATGAAAGGTGAGACTCTGTCTCCAATTCACTTTAGCTGTCTAGTCTTGCTCAAATAGAATTTTAAAAAAAAGTTATCCCATTTGTGATATGTCTTAGCAGAAATGACTCTTGTTAGGTTAGCAGTACTCCCAAATGCAAAATCTCCATTTAACCTCCAAGTAACATTTTTTCTTTGTACTAGTGAACTACAGCAGTACCCGGAAGAAACTCTCAACATTATCAAAGCTACGTTTTCAGGTGCTGTCATTGGCTGGATGTATGGAGGTTTGCCAGCTTTTCTTCATGCAAAGAGACAATATATTGAGCGGAGCCATGCGGAGGTTTATTACAACCGTCTGGATGCTGTGGTATGGACCAAAATCATGCAGAACTGCTCCTTTCTTGTACATCCTGGTTTTTTGCATCAGAGAGTGTATAATGAACTGGATCCCTCATATCTAATTCAGTGGTTGGATCAATAGAGTGTTAAAGTGCAGAACTCATGCCTAAGATTAGTGAATTTTAAAGTGGTACCAGCTGAGACTTGCTTTAAGCAAGAGTTAGATCTGATCCCCTCTCGGGGGTCTGGAAGCATCCCACAACTACTAAGTCCCAACTGAATCCCTGCAAAAACTCTTTGAATAAGCCAAGTCCACATGTCTTCTCTCTGGAGATTAGCTATTCTCCAGAGAATAATGTGTACCAGGTTTTTACTCTGCATAAGATTAGTTAGTGTCTCTTTCACATGCACTCTCAGATTTACAGAAATAGGTGTGTCCTATGGTAATTTGTAAAAAAGAATACATCCTCCTAGTGGGGACGGGGGAAACAAAAGAGAACTGCTGAGCAAGTGAAGAGGCAACATGAGACTTTAAAATGGCCTTCCAGGCTATATAGATGTTGGCTGCTAATCAGGCCAACTTTTTCAGGAAACAGGCTGAGCTTTTGTGCTAGACCAAAATGCTAAAATCTGAAAGAAAAATATCCTTACTTAGAATATGAATGTTTAGATTGGCATTGCTTGTGGTTGCAAATTTAGCAAATTAGTCTGCTGCATCACTGGGTGCTTCTGTTGCAAAATTAAAGCATTGTACAGTACTTGTCAGTAGAAGGTCTAGTGTACAACAGAGAATGCAGTTCCCATGAGCCAGTCAGACTTTCTAAGCTAGATATTTTTAATATAGTCAAGTTTGTGTGCATTTTCATGCACAGTTACTGTGATTGCATTTGAAAAATACCAGACTCTTTGATTTATATTCGTAAGTATATCATTTGTAACCGTCTGTGGTAATTATGTACCTTAATGAAGTAGTGAGTTATGCTCACATGCTGCATGCTTATGTACTTAAGAGTTATAGTTAAGATGTTAAATTAGCCTTTTTTTAATAATAGAATTTGCCTTCCAAAAATATTGAGCTTTTAATTTCCATTGTGTTCTGATGGCAATTAGGTTCTCTGTCACTCTCCATCATGAGGCTGTAAGACTGATAGCTTCCTCTTTGATTGTCAACAGTTTTATTTAACACTTGAAAAATTGAGATTGTATTCCATTATTACATGCAGCTACAAAAAATATTTTATATTTCACTAGATCATTCCTTTAAAAGGGCTCAATTTTTTTTTTTTAAATCTCACCTATGTTCGAGTACTTGGATATTAAAAAAAGAAATTATTTTAAACATACTTTTAAGCAATTATAGTATTTATTTGGCTTGGTGATTTGCTCAGCTTCCACAAAAAAAAAAAAAAAAAACGAGAGCTGCCAGTTTCTTTCTCTGTTCTAGTTTGTTTCAGGCTGTCATACATTTGTGTCAGTGCTACCATATTTGGGTTGCAAGAACTGGAGAAGAGGGTATTGGGTTTAAGCAGTCTTAATTGGAATGCTCTAAAATTTCATGAGATTTCTATTAATATTACATGTTGTAATACCTTGTTTATATACGAAGCTTAAATTTAGGGGTAAACTATAGTGCTTGATGTTAAACTTCTTAATGTTTAAGCCAAATGGTTATAGTTTAGGAGGTATTTAATGACTATTAATCCACAGTTAAAATCAAATAGAAATTAGTTTTAAGTTTCTGTCCTAGTGGGTTTCTGCACTGCCGCTGTAATAAGCCATTATTTTTCTAAATGGATGACTGTTTCATCACTAAGATTGGGAATATCAAATGGAATTAAGCATTTAAATGAATTCTCAGTTGTCTTGTTGAATGGCTGAGATAAAGGAGGTCTGTGTCCCCTGAAGATGGGACTAATATATCAACTACATACTTTTTAAAAATAATGTCAAGATGGGTAGTTTTTAGGGAAGAGCCATTGTCTCAAGTATGATCATCTGAAGAACCACAAATCTGTATGCAGTGAAATTACAGTAAATTTTTAGTCCTGTAACCATCTCTCATTCTCCCCAAAGCAATCTGCACAGCAAGCAGCAATCAGGGGATTCATCCGTTATGGCTGGCGCTGGAGCTGGAGAATTGCTGCTTTTGTGGCAATATTCAAGTAAGTTTTTTAAATACTGAATGTTTCTTCACAATCATCAAACTCTGTTTAACCAGCTAACCAATTAAAGGGGATTTTAAGTCCCTAGCAAGAACTTGAACTTGATTTTCCCCAAACCCAGATGAGTGATCTGAGCACTGGCTTATAGAGTCATTCTTCAGTCTAGTCAAGTGAATCTTTAATTAACTTATCCAAAATGTAGCAGTTTCAACAGGAAAGATTGAAAGAGCCACCTCACTGGTGTCTCCAGTTTCTAACTCTTTAGTACCATTTTTCAATGTAATTGATTTACTGTTTACTTCCTTTTCTGGGAACTTCAGTGATGTTAAACTATATTAGACCTAATACACATCCTTATGGCTTCCCCACAGCTGTCTCCAGACAGCTTCCCCACAGCTTGAGACATTGTTCTATTTTCATTACCCCCTTCTCTTTTATTTTATAGCCAATTTTCAGTCTACATAACAGTGTCCACATGGAAACCATTTTATAGCCATTTTGGAAAGAAGTTTTTGAGATTACCAAATGCATTCTGAAAGTCTAAGTACAGAAATTCTATCGCATTCCTCTTTCCCACTAATCTTAATCTTGAGTAGGTATGTAAGAGACTAGATGCAGAAGATTATTGGACAGTTGACTCGTGATTCAACTAGTCATCCCCCTCCTTGCTGTCTCTGTCTTAAAAGCCAGTTCCCTCCAGCATTGTCTCCTTGGGAGGCAGGGGAGGTAGAGGCACAGTGGAAACGGCATGAGCAGGGACTGAAGCTGTCTCCACTTTCGCCGCTTCTGCTGCAATTCTGCTTTTGAAATGTACAAGAACCTCAGCGGGAAGAGTACAAATATACAAGAGTCCCCTGCTGGCCCAGCGCTCCCTGCTGCACCTGAGTCTTTGAAATGTCCAAACCTGCTGGGGCTTTTGTACATTTCAAAGGCTCAGGCGCTGCAGAGAGCGCTGGCCAGAGGAATCCCCCATTGGTCCTATGCTCCCTGTGCTGCTTCCTGCGGGGCTCTCATTTTTGAATTGTAGCAAGAGCCTGACAGGGCTCAATTTGATTAGTTAATTAATCTAAATTTAACATCCCTGATCTTGACCAGCAATTACCAAAAATCTGTCCAAAACCAGTACCGCACCATTAATGGTTTTACCCTCAACCAATAATTAGAGATCTGGGGTGCTCTTTAGGAGTTGACCAGCTGCACTTGTGGCTCCCACAGAGTGTTCAAGGTGCGCTATCATGATTGGCAGCTTTATTTTTGGACTTAACCTGATTACAGACTTTGTGGCTATGTCTACATTGGCTGATCTTGCGCAAATACTCTTTAACGCAAGAGTTCTTGCGTTAAAGTATTTGCACAAGAGACCGTCTACACTGCTACGTGCCTTTGCGCAAGAGGATCCGTGCCAGTGTAAATGCTCTCTTGCGCAAGAAATTGATGTTGCCTGTCTACACTGGCCTCTTGCGCAAGAACAGTTGCACAAGAGGGCTTATTCCTGAGCGGGAGCATCATAGTTCTTGCGCAAGAAGCACTGATTTGACACATTTAGAATGTCAGTGTTCTTGTGCAAGAACTCACCGCCAGTGTAGACAGGAAGCATGTTTTTGCACATAAGCAGCCACTTTGGCGTAAGATTGCACCAATGTAGACACAGCCCGAGTGGTTTTTAAGCTTATGCTTGTAAATGTTGGTTTTAAAAAATTATATAAAACCCTTGGAGTTCTACTGCTCCTCCATATCCTTCTGCATTGTGGCATGTGATATATTGACCACAATAATGTTCTTATTTGCTGCTGTTTGTGTGTCCCAAACAGATCAGCTGCAGGAAGTATGGTGTGGGCCGACTTGCTAGCTCCCCATTCTTTAATGGAATCTTATCTGGTTGGGATTGCAGAGGGCTGTATTGTTGTGTGTGCTCTTTGTTCATGTCTGTCTTTTGACTCTTGCTTTATGCCCTGTTCTTGCAGCACTGTGAGCACTGGTCTGTCCGTGTATCGCAATAAAACCACCTGTAGTCACTTTGCAGCGGCAGGCGGTGAGACTACTTTATTTTTACACTAGAAGATTTACCCAGAGTTGCTCAGATCCTTAACTCAATTATTTTTGTTTTTGTTTTTTGGAAAATAAGATGAAAATGTACATGCTTCATTTAAACAATTGCTCGGGGATGGGGATGGGGATGAGTGGTTCAGGATGCAGACTGCTCTCTCTCACCACAGCAGCTTAGAACCAGGTGACAAGTGCCTCCCCATGGCTGCTGCAGCTCCAGTAGGCACAGCCAGGAGAGGGTACATTTCCCCCAGCTGGGGCAGGTTCAGGTTCATCTGCCCTCTGTGCTCTCCTACCAGAGTGAGGAATGCAGCAAACTGCACACTTCCCCTCACTCCCTGATAAAGGGGAACAGCCAGCAATGTTCTTATATGAATTGGGGATGGAGGAGCTTCAGCTCCCCCCAACCCCCAAAGGGAAGCTGCATACCGAATTTCACGATCCTAGCTCTTAGTTGTTCAGGAGTTCTTGAACAGACAGACACAGACAAACTCTCTCAAATTTGTAATCGGTTCTGTTTGAGTATGGACACACTCTGGTTTGAGTCAGTGAAGCTCCTGGGCTCACTTTATGACATTGGTTAATTATGTAACCACAGTGTGCCTTTTTCCCGTTGGCAATACAGGGATGATAAAGTTTTTCTACCCTACCAGGAAGTTTCAAGGCTTAGTTAATATTTGAAGTTTGTTGCCTATCTTGAGTGAAAGAAGCTTGGGCATGTCCATGTAGTGGAATAGTGTATAATGTCCCATTCTCATACTATGAAAAATGAGCATCAAATCCATCAGCAATCTAATGCTGCTTCTTACAGTTGTTTTCATGGGAAAGATAATTTTTAAGTTTTCTCTAAATGCAGAACAGGGTATCCTACTGTATGTTATCTTTATACAGGCATGTATTGGGATTCCAGTTGGATATATTTCCCCTCACTTCTTGTTTTAAAAGGTTAGGTAGTATTACTTGTTGCTGTTCAACAGCTCCTGTACTTCACCAGAGAGAACTTAATTTCAGTAGTGGGTGGGCTGGTAATCCTCCCCAAACATTTAGTTCTTTCAGTTCTTTGGTAATCTTTTGGAACAGCAGGAAATTTTGTGCTGTGGTTCATGTCAGAGAAGGAACAGATTTTAAAAAAAGGCCTATTTTAGGTTGCCGTTCCCATCTTACCTTTCAGTCTGATTTGTAAATATGGCAGCAGGGCTGTGGGGCAAAATGTGACTTCTGGGAGTGAAACTGCCTTTCTAAGTTACATGATTCCATGCTGTGACTTTTCCCTGGAAGTGTGATACAGACTGCCACATATGCAGGCTCACCAAAGACTGCTTCAGCACTGCTGGTTCAGCATTTGGTTTCTTCTCTCTCTCACTGGCTTTTGGTGTTCTGGGGGTAGGAGCTGGAAGTGGCAGAGCAGCTCCCTCAATCTGCTAGGACTCCACCTCATGTCCATGGCTTGTGTGCTTTAGCCTTTACAGGAGGCGTTTTCAGAATACACTTGGGCCTAAGCAAGATGGTAGCTGGCAGTGTCTTCGGAGCAATATTCGGGTAAGCTGCACCCATAGCAAACCAGTAACCAGGGTCAGAATTACATTCTGTAGTTGGTGTGTGTTGGATAATGGCTTCCCAAGGCAAGCCTTGAATCCTAAGAGGGACTACCACAGACTGCCTATCCCTCAGCACCCAGATGGGTTTTCTGCATCCCTCCTATGGAGCATGATGATTTCTGTCTCCACAAGCCTGCATCCAGTTTTTTCTTGCTCTATACTTCATTGTTCTTCCAGTGATAGCTGGATACATGGGGGATTCCCCTCTTTCCTTTGAGCTGATCAGTGCTTGTTCCTTAAATGGCTAGAAAAGATGCTGATCACTATAAAAACAGAAAAGTAATAATAATTATCCTCTCTCCTCCTGCCCCTCTCTTCATGTTTAATGTATTTACTAATAGGCTATTTAGGGTTCTCAGAATAATTAGCAAACATTAAAGAGGGTGAAGCATTCTCTTGAGGAGCTGTGTTGTATGCTGATGAGAGCAGAACTAGGAGCAAAGATGCCTGGATTTCCTTCCCAGCTTCTCCACTGCTTGCCTGTATGTCCTGGGGCAAACCACTTAGCCTCTCTGTGCCTATAAAATATAAAATTTTATAAAATTCCCAGTTATAAAATATTTATAATACTGACCTATCTCTTCTGATAAGAGGCTTATTGACTGTTTGCAAAGCACAGCAAAGGGTGGTAGCAGGGGTGTTGTGTTTCCTGAATAGCTCTATGGGGATTTGAGCTTCATGCAGTGGTTGTCATGAGTTAGTGAACAGTAGGGTCTGGCTCTTGAGGGAGGTTATGTATCACTGAGCCTGTGGTTGGCCCCCACACATTCCTTTGTTACTGCCAGTAAGCTATCTCTATTAGTGTCTTCTGGTGGCTTCTTGTAATTTCCTCCTCCACCTTTTAGCATCCCTACGGGAGGGCTTTTGATGGCAATGCAGAAGCTCTCTGGTGAGACCATACAGGAGAAAAGAACACGTGAGAGAAGATTGCTGCATGAACAGAAGTTAGCAGAGTGGTAAGAAACAATATTGTGCTGTCTAAATTAGTGAATCATTATCATTGTCCAACATTCATAGGTTCCAACATTTTCATGTAGTAAATTGATTTCTTAAAGACTGGGATTGTGGTGGGGAGAGGAGTCACAGAGCCAAAGTTCTTCTCAAGTATCTTTACATTTCCCTACTGTTTCTTCTCTGTCTGTATTAGAGAGAGAAGGAGAAGGGATGCCAGAAGCCTTTGGGAAGGAGGGTCTTTCCTAAAACTCTTAAACTGAACAATGTGTATGTATTAAATTGAAAAAAAAAAAAAAAAACCCAACCCCTAAAAATGGAAGAGAGCAATTGGATCTTATATTGCCTCCAGTAATTTGTATGGGATTGTTCCCGATAATACATCTTTTACTGATTTGTCCTGATCCTTTCTAAATGCTTGAAGTAGAGGTGCCTTCACCATTCCCTTGGGCAAGAAGCTGGAAAATGGTCTCACTCTATTTCCTAAATTGTACTTTCTTCTTCAAAAATACTGCACATGTGGATCCCAATTAGGATGTCTGTTGTGCCTCACCACAAGAGTTTGGGACATTGTCACTAGCAGAGTCCAGCAGGAGTTATGTATGTTTTTGCTGCTGCTTCCTTCCCATATTCTAAAGGGCAGAGTGGCTCCAACCACCACTCAACTTTTTCCAGCCACCTTAGGTAGTGAATCAGAACAATATAGTCGAACACACACAGGCGAGGCAATGCAGATTTAAGCGTGTGTGTGTGTGTGTCTTTCTTTCATTCATTCATTCATTTAAAAAGAAAGATCCAGGAGAACAGTGTCAGACTTGGGTTTCAGACTTGATACGGAGGCAGCTTCTTTCATAACTCATCCCTCCAGTGCTCCTGTCACCAGAGAGAGGGCACCTAATTCAGGAGCAGTTAAGAAGACAAAAAGGAACTCCAGAAAAATCTGTTGGAGCCATTGGTAATCCCTTCTGTGACTCTGACTGTAAACCAGCTTCTCAGTACTGAGCCCTATTTCCCTGTCCCTGAAAGGATATTGGATTTTTTGGGAAAAACATTTAGCTACCTCTGCTTCAATTTCAGCTACTTCAGAATGCACTGGTTTTAGATATCAGGTACCATCCAAAGGTTTTGAGTGTGTTTATATTCATCCAGCGCAATCATATTGGTTATTGCTGCTGCCATAAAGGATTTAAGCAATCAGGACAGTTTAATCCTCAGGAGAAAGAGACTCAATATTTTTGGGAAGAAAGTCTGCTTACAGGTCAGAATTACAAATTTTACCAAGCCATACTGTCCAAATACAGGCTAGTTTGCCATATTTTAAATACAAGAGTTTAGAGCAGTGTTTCTCAAAGTGGGCACAGTTTCACTCTGAGAGAGCTGCTACTGGGCTGCTCCGGTTTGCTGACTTAACAGCTCCACAGCCACGGAGCCTCGTGGCTCCCATTGACTGTGGTTCATCATTTGCAGCCAAGAGGAGCTGCAGGAAACAGTAGCCCAGGCCACGCCTCTTCCTGCAGCTCCCTTTGGCTGCAAACAGCGAACCACAGCCGATGGGAGCGGTCAAGTTCTGTGGCTGCAGAGCTATTAAGTAAACAAATGGGAGCAGTGCACTAGCACCTTTGTCAGAGTGGGGCCATGGCCCACTTTGAAAGACACTGGTTTAGAGACAAATTCTAGGCTATTTGTGAAAAGGGTCAACTGATGACTAACCCCTCTCTTTAAGCTGCATTTCATACTGCTGAGTCTGTTTGTTTGCTACAGGTATCGTGTTGCATCATTTCTCTGTTACCTGCATCAGGTTTATCAAGAGAGGTACAAGCAACAATTGAAGACTTACTATTCAAGAGCCACTCTCTTATTTAGTACTCAGTCTGAGTCTCTAATTCATTAAAAGACTGGAGATCCATACTCAGAACATTGAGCTTACATACTCCCGAAATTTAAAAATAAATCATCCTCAGTCTTCTTTTTTAGATATTAAAATAGTTAGTTGTCATTTTCATACTCGCAACCAAATGCCTTCCAAGCACTTTAGAGAGAGATTCAGATATTACAAAAAAACCTATAGTTTTCTATATTCAGTCATCAGGTCAGTCACAGATGCAAAGGTCAAGGATCTTGGACTAATATGCAAGAGTTATCTGAATGCCCATGGCAGATGCACTGTGTATTTGGATATTAATGATTTTTGGTGAGTGGAAATATGGCTAAATGGACATCACCTGTATGTGGCATGATGAGAAACAGAGGAGAAAATAAAGTGTATCCTAGAAGGTGCCCCTGATTGGATTAGCAATCTAGCCATTCAAAGTCAGCCAGGGTATCATCTTTCACACAGATGCTAAAGGTTGCCAATCTCTGCTGGCTAAGTGAAGTAGTGGCCTCTTTTAGCTTGCTATGTTTTGGCATTATTTTATGCAGTGATGAAGTCATTACTAATTCAGAGTTTTTTTTCAAAATTTCAGCAGCCATTAGGGTGTTTACAAAGTGCTTATGAGTAGTAGCAACCCATCTGTGCAAACAAGGTTGCACATTTACCCTTCCATAGATACCTGGCTTGTAAGAGGGAAGTTGTAAGAACTTGTCATAATGGCAGCAAAGAAATGGATACATTTATTTTTACCTCTGAATTTGAGGATCAACTTGCAAAAGTCAGTTCTGATATTGTCCCAGTCTACAGAGCTCATTGGAGCATTCATACAGTCTGTACCAACAAGAGCATTCCTCTCATTGAACTGATTTCAGGTAATAAATCTGATTCTCTACTTCTACCCTTACCATCAAACAACAATAAGAATGTTCCTCAAATGTCTAGGCCAGGGCCACTCAACTTCGGAAGCCCTGGGGGCCACAATGATACTCACAGCACATGCCAAGGACTGCAACTTAAGAGTGGTTGCATATACATGCAAATATATTTGCAACTAGCTTCTTTCACGCTGATGGGCATGAATATAAAAATTAAGGCAAGACTACACAACACACGGGCCCCATTAAAGTTAGTTCTTCTCATATTAACAAAATGCAGTATTTACCCAATTTTCACCCATATGACAGCACTTTTAATGAGCAGTTGACAGTCCAGGAATTTAACTACTAAAATGCATATCAACAGAAGAAGATTATATTGACTACTTTTTTGTTTTGGCTTCACAACAGTCCAGAAATTTAACTACTAAAACACATATCAACCCAAACCCTACCGTAAACCCAAACCACACAGGCCAAAAGCAAACAGGCCGCGTGTTGAGTAGCCTTGGTATTGAGTAACCTATATAGCTTCATGGACATTTGTAACCTCATTTGTCAGATTACATTTCGGACCACTTGAAGCATGAATTAAATCCATTTACAGATCAACAGTCCATGATATGTCACTGAAGGTGCTGACTCCAGATCAGATTTTATCCTCTATGTAATTGCAGATGATGGAAGGAAATGTATGTATGAGAATTCCATTTGGACTTCTGAACTGTACCTGAAATTTTGATACAGTTAATAAATTCATAGATTTTTAAAGCCAGAAGAGACCCGGGTTAGGGAGGTACAGCATATAGTCTGACTTCAACTTCCAGCTATTGGATCTTGTCATACTTTTCTCTGCTGGATTGAAGAGCCTATTGTTAAATATTTGTTTGCCATGTAGGTACTTACAGATTGTAATCAAGTCAAGTCTTTGTTAATATAAGTAGATTGAGCTGCTGGTAATAAGACATCAGGTTGTAAAATAAGCAGATTGCAAGTCCTAATTCTAAATCCTCCATGCACAAGTTTTCATGTGGATAGAGTAATTGAGATTATACTGATTTTTGTACTACAAAAGTACTACCAGATTTTCCAATCTATCAGTTAATTCACTTACCATTTTTTCCCAATGCTTCATTCTTCAGCTGCTGAATCTAAATTACATTCTTTGAGAACATTGGTGTTCCATTACATAGAAAGAGCTAACTCTTTTCCTAAAACTTCAAAATTTGTTATAGCTTATGGTAACAAACCCAAAGGGATGACTGTTTATCACAAAGACTTGAAAAACGCGGATCCAGTTGTATTAGAACAGCTTATTTATTAATATTAAGAGCCCTCTGTTGAGCATTAGAAATCACTCCACCACACCATGTTGCATCGACAGTATGCTCCAGTCAAGTTCCAAAACTGGAATTACGTAGCGCTCTTTCTCCATCTTCAGCTTATGAATAAGGATTCTATTCTAGTCAGCGAAGGAAGCTAGTGGTAGTTGGTCACACACCTTTTATCTGCTTTTGAGGAGGATGGGGGATTGAAAGCAAGCAAGGTGCATGTATGACCCTGGTAGTTGAAAGAAAGTGTTCCTAACTCCTAAGCTGGGGCACAGTTGATACCCTAGAGCCGTGGTCACCAACCAGTAGATCGCGATCTACCGGTAGATCTCAGGGGCTCTAAGAGTAGCTCTTGAGCCCGCTCTGAACTGTGCACCTGCGCAGTGCATTTACATTAGATGTCCTCATGTCCATCAAACTGTCCTCATGTAATGTAGGCGGGGCTTCAAGGAAGGGGCAGGGTAGTAGATCTTCGCCTGTTCTGAGACTTAAAAAGTGAACTTGGGTGTAAAAAGGTTGGAGACCACTGCCCTAGAGGAATCTACATGTGCAGAACATCTTAAAGAATGACAGTTACGGTAAAGAAAGTAATGCTTCTTTATTTATTTTCAATTTGAGCATTTACTTGTCTGCCAGCCTGGGAAAGGACTGTGTTCGAAGGGCTAAACCTGGTTCTTGTCAATGCCACTGTTTATGTGACGTATTAAAACTTACAAATAGTGACAACATTATCCAGAGTCTAAAGATTTGGGCTTATAGAATGCTGGTGTTTTATCAGTAAGCAGAATGAGAACTAGTCTACAGAGCTGCAAATTATAAGCTTAGAGAAAGAGTACAGAAACTGAAATTAATTTTTCCTCTCCCCATTTAGGAAAGCTAATCTTCATGTTGCTGAGGTTGACTTAGAAGAAATTGTCACTAACACTCAGGAAGGAACCACAGAGAGAGATATTGAGAAGATTGCTAAAGCTTCCCAAGAACCCTCTACCATCAGAAGATAGGAACCAGTCTGAGATCTGACTTCAGTCAAGGCAACTTGAAAGACTGGCCTGACTCCATTTCTGCAGTCATTATTTGATGACAATATTGTGGTTATGCACCATGACGGAGGGAGAGTTGTAGATCTTCAGGCTGAGTGATGGCCAGAGCTGCATTTTGGTGGGCATGGGGACAGCGACATAACTATTGAGGCTTCACTTGAATGCCTCCCTGGCCATATCTTAAGACAGTATATATGGAGAAGGGGGTTATGCCATGGTTGTATGTGGCAATGTAGCAGGATTAAGGAGCTACCACTCTCCCAAAGAAACCTGTAATGACATTTTTATTATTTGAAAACAGAATTCAGTTTTAATCAAACTAGCTGTACTGACAGCACCAGAGTCCTGCCTGTTCTCTGACCAGATGCAGCATTCATGCTAGTTCCCACCATGCTATTTCTTTAGTGTACTTCAGCATGGCTCCAGTGTTACAGGGATGTTTGGTGACTGCAGTCCACTCAGGCTTCAGGTGTTTTTCAGAAATAATGGTTCTCCGTTTTCCAAATGAGGTTGGTGAGAGTATCAAGGTCCCAAAGTCAGTCCTAGAGAAGGACACACCTTGGATTTCTGAAAAGCCGGGGGACCTTTTTTGAGAGGGACGGTGCTGCAGCAAGGCTGACGGTGTGTCGGCTGGATTGTTTGGTATTATGGAAACATCTTTAACAGAACATTGTGAGTGTATTTAGTTACAAATCATAGGACCCTTTTGGAAGAAAACTATTGGAAATGGCATTTAAAAGACATAACCACTAAAGTTGTCTAGACTGTTTTGTCTGCCAGGGTCTTTTCTTACTTGGGTCATATGATATTGTTGAGCTCACCAGCAAGACTGCTGCTAGGGGTGAGGAAAGTTAAGTCTCATGGCCCTTTTTAGGCTCTGGAGATTGACAACCCCAATTCTCACAGCAAGACCAAGCAGTCGTTACAGTAATGTTATGAAAATCTGGGGATGGCTTTGAATTATAACAGCCTGTGGCTAGAAGGACTCTGTATCTCTTCACCACTTGATGTTGGGCCAAAGCCAGTTTTTAGCCGTGTGAGTAGCTTTACTGCCTGTAAAAGTGTGGCCATAGCTTTATGCACCTGCTGTATGTAATGGAAGAAAACTCCCAACAAGCTGATGACAGGAATCTGTTCACAAGCCATAACAGGTTGAGCCAGATGCATGTAATTAAATTCTGCCTGAATGCCTTATTCCTCCACTTTTAGGTTACTGTTAACATCTGCACAGTTCAGTCAGCAGAGCATGTCCCACCCACCCAAGCCTGGGTTCCTTTCACAACTTTTTTAAAATAAGGCACTGGGTTTCATCATGTCTAAAATGAGTATTCTATCAACTGTGCTTTAGTTTTTCCATGGGGGGGGGGAAATGCATTTTGTATTGGGTTTTTCTTGTTCCTTCACAAACTAGGTCAGGAATGTGTACAGCCATGGCCCTGCTTGATTGTTGGCCCTACCCTGCCTCCGCACCTATCGACACATCAACAATGCTGCTGCTACTACATGCCCTTTACCCCCCCCCCCCAACAAAGTTACCTAGTTACACAGCATTGTTAAACCTTGCCAGTTGTTAATTTCTTCCATGATCACCTATTTTCATGCTTCCCCATTCCTTTTAACTATGAGCTATTTGCTGACCTGGCTCATTGTGCCTTCTTCCTCTTTTATGAGTGTCCTGGGAGCAATAACTAGGGACACAATTTCTTGTGTACAGTGACATTTGTAAGAAAAAAAATCAGAGCAAAGTTAGTTTTATATAGCTTTTTCTTTTGTTGAAGACAACAAGGGGCAAATGAGTCACTTGCTCCTTCAAAATTCAGACTTGAACATCTTCCTTGATGCATTTCCTGCCCATTCTGTGCTTTTTTTGGTATTTCCTCATTTTGTATAATCATAGCTACTGTGCTAGCCATGGTTCAGAATGGGGAATGAAGAGTTGAGTCTGAACTGTCTTTTAAAAAGCATTTTTTACTAGTGGTAAGAAGTGGCATGTTGCATCAAGGTTGCTGAAATTTAATAAGATATACAGGAGTGTGCGTGTGTGTGTGGGGGGGGAGTACTATACATACTTGTGCTGTGTTAATGCTATAGTGGAGGGTCCCACAGGTGGAATTGGGGCATGGGAGGAGTAGGAAAGAGCTCTCAAAGTTGCTGTTGTGATTGTGCAAGACATAGCAGTTAGCACTGATGCAGTCTATGCATGCCAGTGTGACCAACCTGCTCCTTTATTTACTGGACAAAATGGGGAGTTATCACGTGCCTCTTGCCTGGTGACTGTTAATGCTGACTTTTCAGGGGCAGAAATCTCTTGACTCTCATTGGTATCATCGTTGTGCACACACCTTGTAGGACAGGGTTTTAAGGTGCAGGCCGCCTTTCCTCCTCAGCCTCCTTTGGTTGAGGGTCGCATTCGTGTAACTAGCCACCTAAATGCAGGTTGCCACCCAAAGCCAATTGTGCACACAATCTGTATGTTGGCAACCCATTGGGTAGCACCTGATCTGAGCACCAAAGTTTATGCCAGTAAAGTCCTGATAGCACCACACAGTTTGGTGCCTAAGCCCTAGCAAGTGCCTCTCACATGCTCTGACTCTTTTTTGTGTGTGTGTGTGTGTGTGTGTGTGTGTGTGTGTGATTGTTAGGGGCAGTGACACTACTGCAACTGTGTTTTTCAGATAGGTTTGACCTGGCATACAGGCCTAACTCCAGCAGGTCAGTTCACAACCATGAATCCTGTGTGTAAGGAGGTTCCTCCCTTTCTCCCACATAACTCAGGCCTCACTTCATTTCCTATTCACTTGTAAATAGCTTCTGCTGCTCAGCAAGCAGTATGTGGAATCCATTCTTCGGTACCTAGTTGTCCCCATGCATTGAATAGGGAGCTTGGACACCCAATGCAGGGCTGTGGAGTTCACTAGGCAGCAAGGCATGTAAACATTTAGCTCAATCATGCACCACCTAAGTCCCCATTGTAGATCCAGACCCAAGTGCTTACTTTGTGACTATACTGCTGTTAGCCAGTGCAGAAGCAAATTAACTCCTATGTAGTTTTCCAGCACACAGAGTGGATACGTTTATTAAGAAAAATAAATCAGATGCAGAGTTTACCTTTTAATACAATTAAGGGGGGGGGGAGGGAGGATCCCATAGAATATCTTAGCCAAAATGAAGATGTTAAACTGAAAGCAATTCACCTGTTACATTGGGTCAGGTATTAAATAAGCTTGAAAGGTCTCATGGAAACCATGTTGTGCATTTCACTGAAAACACCGTGAGACAGTAGAAAACATAAAACATGTTTTATAAGGAAAAAAATCAAACCTAAATTGCCCATATTTGTCAGTGTAAAATTCCTTAGCCAGAAGGAAGTCTTTACAGTAGCATAAAAGTATTTACAAAAGCATGTGCTGAACAGAAAAACCCTGCCCCAGAGAGCTTACAAGCTCCAGTCAGGAGTATAATTAAGTACGAAACAGCCGAAAGAAGAGGGTTCGGAGTTGGGGGAGAGGGGTTTGTTTTGATACAGGAATACATTGTGAAATGGATGCACTTCCAGGAGGCTTCAGAGGAATGGGGGAAGTTACAGAGAAGTATGAAAAGAGGCATAAAGCTGAGAGGCAGCAGGTAAGTATGGAGTGGGACAGTGGACCAGTAGGTGAATTCTGAGCAGGTATAAAGCTGGTAGTAGCAAGAATGCAGACTAGTTGCTGGGTAATAGAAACAGGGAGAAATGAAAAAAATGTAACAATCTATTCCCACTGCTCATGGCATACCCATGATGCTGTTCTGTTAGAGTCCCTCTAGTCGTGCTAGTGCCTCATTTGCTTAACAGTGATGCTTCAGGCCAAATATTGAGACGTGCTTAGCTGCAAAAGGAGCGCAAAAAAAGTTCCGTCCGCTGTTCAGATTTCATCTGTGGCCCATTACTCTCTCTCTACTCAATCTCTTCTAACCACACTATTGGGAGTGCTGAGCAGCTACCAATTTAGTTGATTCAGTAGGAAGGAGGAAAAAGTATCTGACGGCCACTTGGCCCTTTGGAGGAGAGTAAGGGCCATTTAAAAAGACTTTGTTTTCTCTCACCCCACCACCATCCTAACTTGCACTGGCTTCCCACCCGGAGCCCAACCCTCCCTAAGCTGCCTTTATCAGCTTGGCTGCCCTCCAGTCATTTCTCTTTCACACTCCTATTTACCAGAAAGAGGAGTGTAGGGTTGGGGTGTCCTCATGCTGCTGCCTAGCTGTGCCCTCATTGGTGTGGAGCAGACCATGGTTGCAGCAGCATCAAAAAAAGTGACCAACAAGAAAGCTGCAATGTGCAACCAGTCTCCATGCAGCTACTGGTTACACCTGGAACAATGGCTGCAGAATAGGCTGGAGGAAGCTGTAATGCATGAAGCTGTAACCATTTAGCTTAAAAGACAAAGCAGAAGGGGGAGAGTAGACGATCAGAGGCAAGCGGGGGCAGAGTTATGTTAATAAATCCCATTGTGCAAGCAGCCTCTTAGGATTTGATTTTTCCCCTCAAAATGAGAAATTGCTCTTTCCTACACAGTAGGCAATAAAACCATTCAGGCCAGATCTGGATAGGTTCTATTCAATGCTGGAGCCCAAGCAGGGCTCTTCCATGCTTCAGCTTCTGAATGGATACAGGGGACAGATTCTGAGAACAGCAGCCATAGACTATGAGATCAGCAGCATCCCAACCAAGGGTTGTCTCATATGCCGATTTTCCTGCAAGAGGCAAAAGGCTCAGTTTCCCCCATCTCCCTCCAAGCATAATAACAAGGGTGTTTGTTATTACCATATAATATCTCCCCCCCATGTCCACGTAGGGGAAGCAGAGTTATGTTGTTGGAACTAGACATTATGAATTTTCTATTTCTTCATGTCACATGTAAATTAGCTGCTGAGCAATTGGATCACATATGAGTGTGTTGACTAGGGGATATACACTTGAAAAGTACCACTTGGGTGTGTCTGCATGGCCTTAGTTGGCTGGAAAGTTCAGATGAGCTTTGGCATATCTACTTCCTCGTTGGGGTGATCCTTTGGCTTGCTGGGTAGAGGCCTTTGGGACAGACAAGTCATGAGCACGAGCATTAGTGCTGCAAACAAGGCAGATAGCTGTACACACATTAGTAGCAAAGGGCCAGAGTGTCAGTATATAAATGCCACTCCAGACAACATTGTATATTATGGCTGTTGAAATAAGTATATGATGTATTTCCCCATCTCTGTTCAGTTCTTCCTTACAGAGTGACTGAACCTTTCGCCCTTACTGGAGTAGGGGCCCAAGACAGTAGACATCTGTGATTGTCGGTTCCTCAAATACATCCTTAATCCAAACTCAAGAACTGTATTGGCAAAATGTCCAAACCCAAGAACCATACAGAATTGAACACACTACAGCTGCCCTGAACTCTAACATAGAGGAGCAACCTGTATGGGGCTCAAGAATGCAAACTGGAGTCTGGGGCCTCCCAAGGGCCAGCCCTTCCTTATTAAAGGTTGGGCTACCTGGCAGAGCTCCACAGGCCACCCTTGCCTAAGAGAACATCTCAAAGCCGAACATCCCAAACCATGAGGAGGCAGGTGGCGCACTGAAGCATTAGGATGCTGGCAACATTTCTTACAGCTCATCAGGAAAATGGAGCTTCTCTGCCGGGCGGCTTTGCAAACACAGGGCTCTGGCGCCTGACTGTTCTAAGCTTCCATCGCAGTGGTGTTCAGTCACAAATGCTATCTTTCTAGTCCACTTGAGCAGATTTCCTGCCTGCTCTGTCATCCTCTTCTGGAAGAGCCAAACAGTCTATGGAATAAGCCTTGGCCACGGAGGACAATGGGGGACTGCAGTGCAGGGCACACGGGATACAAGATCTGTGGAGACACAAAGGTCAGATTTTTTTTAACTCCTCATACATTCCTGAAAGCGACAGTGGAGGAGGCAACAGAAGCCACCTGCAGACCTCATGGTGGCATCAAATGTAAAAAGCAATAGGAAGGAGGGTGCTTTGTCTGTGCAGGGGCAGCCATTGTAAGCTGTGTACCACACTTTGGGTTGGAATTGAGGCTAGCCACTGGTCCTTGTGAAAGCTTGCAGGTTGTCTGAGGAGAGGGTTTACTTTGGGCTATCAGCATGGGTGGTGGGTATAAGAGGCAAGAGGAGGCAATGCCTTCCCTGGGTCTTAGTGCTCAACACGTCCCCTCTTCCTATCCCTATTCTGACCATTCCTGAGGGCTCCCACAGCAGGCTTTTGATGCTTGCAGACTGGTGACTCCTCCCCAGTAGCCTTCCAGCTTGCCAGACCTATTAGCATCACACTGAACCTGTGAAAGAGTCATTAAGTGGTAATGAAACCATGTAACAGGCACCTGCCAGCTCTGAATTTACTGACAAAACCAGTTGTGCATTACTATGGCTACAGGGCCTTCGTTTAAAATTTGCTTTAAACGTTTAATTAGTTTGTTGATGAAGATTAAAAAAATCACATCCCTAAAAAAATCCTTGTATAGATAGTTAGAGGTGCAATCTGAATATTCAGCTTTAGCCATCAATGCCTGGCTCTTCAGACATACAGTTCTTTAAATAAATTCTTCAAAAAATCACCTCTCTCTAAAATACATACTTTAATTTTAATGATAGGTTGGACCGCTCTGATTCGGCATTATTGGGACCTAACTGGTCCTGAACAATAGAATTTGCTGGCCCAGGGGACATCTCCTGCCACTGGCCCCCAAGCCCATCACCAGCTGCTGGCAGGCTACCCCAGCAGGCATGCCTGCCCCCCTCGCTCCAACTTGGCTAGGCTGCTTGCTCAGCTACTGCTAGCTTCCTTAGCAGCACAGGCTCTGGCTCCTGCCATGGGGCTCCATTCCTGAGCAGCTGCAGGACTGGAACTCTGACCCGGTCCCTGAGCGTCCCCAGCCTTGCACAGCTAGGGGAAGTAGCGGGGCTCCGATCCCGGCCCTGCACTCCTGGGGGCTACTGGAGGGCTTTGGCTCTGGTCCCACACTGCCCCAGCCAGCCTGCCAACTCGGATGTCCTGCCTTGCTGGCCCTGCTGCCCTTAGGCTCCGTGGTCCGGCACCAGAGAGTCCCCGATTTTGGAAATACAACCTGTACTATAATATAAAAACTTTCTTCCAAAACCTTCCAGTCCTTTCTATCTATTGCTACTTCCCTTTCACCCTCCTGTTGAAGAGAGCCCTTAGAGGCACAATCATCCTTTTCTTCCAGATTGCTGCACAAATGAGTTCCCCTTTCATTCCTGACTATTCAATTAACTAGTTTTAAGAGAACTTGTCACCCATAAATCCTTTGTTATGCCTAAAATCTTTGGAGACATATTTTTAACAACCATACAGTGACATTTCATTAATATGTTTTGCTAGGAAGATCTCACAAAACAAATTAATGGTCCCTTTTTCTAAAAGCAATGAACTTTGTTGTGAATATACTAAGCGGCTCACACTGATTAATGTAAAACAATGTCTTTGTTTCAGTGAGTTTAAATATGTAGCAACTCATATTGCTTTATAAAGGCTTAAGAGTATAGTTAAAATATACAAATCAGCTTAGAAATATTGATGAAGAAAACGTAAAACAGAGAAGGGCTGCATCATGTCTTGAAACATGCTCCATTGTCTTTAGGACATTTTAGAAGAGTGTTTTTTCCAAATGTCATTTGCTACATTTGGGTTCGGGGTTTGGCTGGAATGAGTGAGCAGAGAGAAGAAAGAGGCAATGGAGAGAGGGAGGGAGTCTATGTGGAGCAGGGATGGATTTTGAGTTGGGCCCAGCCTGGGGAGCTGCCTCCACGCAGCTGCTTCTCCCATCAGCCTCACTCTAGTCCTGTGGTTAAGGTGTTTGCCTGGGTTGTAGAAGAGCCTGGTTCAAATTCTGGTTTGCACAGGATTTCCTGCCTCCTAGGTGACTGTCCTTTGTGGTGGGCCAGCCTTGTCTGAACCCCCTCTTTCTCTCAAGAGGCCGTTGGCTTCTTGGGACAGGGAGGGGGATTCAGACAGCGATTGCTCACCAGTGACTCTCTCCAGGAAGTGGGAGCCCCCAGTTCATATCCCTCAAAAGAGCAGGGACATGCCCTGGGGTCTGCCACACCCTGGGCCTTTATCCTCATCATTGTGGACAAGTGTGTGCGGTGAGGGAAGCAGGTTTCTCTTCAATTAAAGAGGCAAGAAGAGCTGCAAATGGCCTCTTGGTCAGCTTTCACACACACCAGATGCCCTCTGCCTGGCAGAGCAGGGATTTGATCCAAGGGCATGCAGAGCTCAAGTAAGCACCCTAACCCCCCCCGTGCCACAGAGGGCCTTGAAAGTTTACTGTGCTCTGGTTAATATATAGTTAAAGTGGAATACTTGATGGTTCTAGATCACACTGGCACTCATCCCTCAATAACCAAAAGGGATTTGAACCAGCATTTCCTTGCCTCTGGGACAGGTACCCAAAGCACAGGAACACGGGGTGAGTCATGAGGGTTAAGTGGCCCAATTCTCATTTCATATTTATTGAACGTGGCCAGCTGCGAACAAACGAGGCTGAAGGAGCTCCCCACCTCCAGCCACTTGCTAGTCTTGCACTCAGGCTATTCATTTGAGAGGTAAGATCAATGTTCAAATCCCTTCTCATGAAATTTGAACGGGCACTTGCACTGTTGAAAGGGCAAGCACCCAAGCTTCTGGACTACAGGGAGTCTCACGGAGAGCTTGTGGCTCAGTAACTAACTATTTAATGACAGTGGCCTAGCCTCCAAAAGAAAGAGTGAGAGCCAGTGTAACCCACACACCTACTATGTCTACACTGGCGTGATCTTGCGCCAGCAGTATGCAAATGAGCAGGGCTTGCTGAACTGCAGCGAGCCCCACTCGCCAGCTGCGCTGTCCAGCGATCTGTGCATGCTCAGATCACCTGAACCCAGCTCTTCCGGGTTACAATCTACTTGTAGATTGTATTATTTGTCGAGCCCTGCAAATGAGGCTAAGCGTGGAATATCGCCGAGCCTCATTTGCGTATCTAATGAGCTGCCATTTTTGCGGAAGAGGCTCTTGCACCAGAATGAGCTGTCTACACTGCCCCTTCTTGCGCAAGAAAAACCCTCTTGCGCAATGCTGTTACACTGATTATTTTCAGGAATAACGACTTTGTGCAAGAGGGGGCAGTGTAGACAGCTCCTTCTGGTGCAAGAGCCTCTTCTGCAAAAATGGTGGCTCATTAGATATGCAAATGAGGCGTGGCGATATTCCACGCTTAGCCTCATTTGCATACTTCTGGTGCAAGATCGTGCCAGTGTAGACATAGCCCCAGTGTGGTTACTGAGCAATGCAAGTGGTACCTCGACCACAGCAACAGTTAAGGTCAAGATACCTCTACAGCATGGGCTGGGAGCCAACTGGCTTTTAGCTCAGAGGGTAGAGGTGCCTATACTCAGCTCCAGAGGTCCGAGGTTCAAATCCACCTGGTGGTGGTTACACCTGCACATGGAAATAGCTTCTACTCCAGCCACAAGGGGATGTGAAGCTCAACCTCCAACATTCTGGGCACACACCTAGCAAGTAAGCTGCATAGGGCTGGTTGTTAGCACAAGGGAGGCCCCAGATCAGAATAGCACTTAGACCATTAACTCAAGAGGTAAGAGAGAAAGGTTCAAGTCCCTTCTCAGCAAGTATAAAGGGGGAATTTGAACCCCAAGCTAACACATGCTAAGCACACATCCAAGGGTGTTTGCTAGCCTTATGACCCACATGAAAATGGAATAGCTGCAGCAGAACAGGATGAGGCAAGACTCCAGGCCCACCAGGGTGAACACCTCTTAGTCCAGCATTCACTTCAGGAAGCTGTGGAAGGAGTTGAACCCACATAGCTGGGTAAGCACCAGACCCTTGGACTACAAAGGAGTTCAGCAATTAAATCTTGCCTAATTGCTACTTAATGACACAGTCTTAGCCTGTCCCTTAGGCTACGGCTACACTACAAACTTTTTCCAGAAGCGGAAATGCAACTGGAACAAATGGAGCACTCATTTGCATATGTTGTGCTCTCATTTGCATTTTCTCTTCTGATCCTTTTTGTGAAAGAGGTTTTTGCACAAAAAAGCGCTCTGTAGACAGTGCCTTTTTGCGCAACCCTACCCCCTTTTGCGCAAGAACCCTTAGCGCTCTGTAGACAGTGCCTTTTTGCACAACCCCACCCCCTTTTGTGCAAGCACCCTTATGCTGCGTTTTTCTCCAGCAAAAAGGATCAGAAGAGAATATGCAAATGAGAGCGATCCATTTGCATTTCCTCTACTGGAAAAAGTTTGTAGTGTAGCTGTAGCCTTAGAGAATACAGAGCCCTAGACAAATTTCTTCTCCTTAGGCAGAGAGCAGGAAACTGAAACAGTATCTATCCCCTCCCAGGCACCTACCTCTGCATGTAATTCCCTAGCCAGGAACCACTTAGGCCTCAGCCTCCTTCCCCAGCTCACCTTAGCTGTTTGGTGGAGTATTAAAAGGTACCTCACGAGAAATTATTTTTGGCATCTACCATGTAACCTTTAGCCTACTTCACCTGTGCCTGCAGGAAAGTGGAGGCTGGCTCCCATTTCAGCATGGGCAAGCCAGTACCAAGGTGGGATTTGCTAGAGCTCTATAAACCACGTGGCGACATGACTAAGGATGTGTTATTTACATAAATGCAAGAGTCAGGGTGACCTGAGGACATAACTAGGCAGCAGGTTTAAACCAAACCAAATGTGATACATCTTTCTGCATGGCACAGACAGCAGGTGGCACTCCTTGCCAATCGATGGCATGAAGGCCAACCTGAAAAGTGAGCAATTGCATGAAACTTCACCAAGTGCTATTAGCTAAAACGGTCATGGACAC